CAATGGCTGGTTTATAATTAATAATCTCCCATTAAAAGAAAAAAAAAGGGGACTCAGTTTTAAAGAACACTGTTACTCAAGCTCCCTGGCAGAGGAAGTGGCCATTATGTTTCTCCCGCAGCTCTGCTTTTGTGGAAGAGGAAAATAGGCTTTTTATTTGCTATTGCTCCGAGTTGCCCAAATAGTCTGGCCATTGTTCGCGAGCGCAGGAACAGAACAGCCCCTGCTATTGTTCGGAGGGTCACCAAACATGGCAAGAGCTTCCATCTGGACTGGGTAAGGGAAGTGAGCAGGGACACACATTTCCTGGAGCTGGCAAAGCAGGCGCAGGAAAGAGCTCCCGTGGGCGCTGGACTCACGGGGAGCGCTTTCCCCAGCGTCTCCTCGTTGGGGCGAGCTGGTCTGGTCTCAGTGGAGGGCCTGTCCATTGTACCACCAGAGGGGGCACCTCTAGACCACTGTGTCAGCTGTTTTTTTTAAAATATATTTTTATTTACTTCAGAGAGGAAGGGAGAGCAAGAGAGAGATAGAAACAATGATGAGAGAGAATCATTGATTGGCTGCCTCCTGCTTGCCCCCTACTGGGGATCAAGCCCGCAACCTGGGCATGTGCCTTTGACCAGAATCGTACCTGGGACTCTTCAGTCTGCAGGCTGTTGCTTTATCCACTGAGCCAAACTAGCTAGGGCAAAAATGTGGGAAGTTCTTGATTACAAGTGTGACTTGCTTTTACAACAGATAATTGTCATGGTAAAATAAAAGTGGGAGCGTGACAGGACTTAAAAGTAATTTCAGAGAATATTATCTAAATACAAAGTGTGGACCTTGTTTGAATCTATTTCATACAAATTAAGTATAAAACGTATGTAGTATTTCATACAAATGGTGAGATTTGAATATTTGCCTTAGTAGATATTGTTAATGAATCTAATGTGCTTATTTACTTGTGATGCATACAAAAGTATTTGCAGATGTGTAGGATTAGCTATAAAATAATCTAGTAGTAGGAGAGTGTTAGATAAAATGAGAAAATAGGCAATGGTTATATTGATTATAAGTATTAAGAAATATGAACTAAATGCAATGTATAAACGTAGAGCCTGATTTAAACAAAGTGTAAAGAGATATTTTTCAGATAGTTGAGAAAATAGACCTTGAGGTGGGTATTATTATATGATATTAGTTAGTTTTGCTGGGTCTGCAATTGTAGTTTTTTTTTTTTTTTTAAGTCTTTGTCTGTTAGGCATATATCATGAAGTCCTAAAATATTATGATATCTCTAATCTACTTTTAAATATTCTGGCAAAACAAAACTAAGGGATAGATTAAACAAGATTTGAAAGTGTTAATTATTGAAGTTGGTCAATATTGGCAGTTCATTATAGCAATCTATACTTTGTGTATGTTTAGAAATTTCTCTAATAGAAAGTATTCATTTTCAGTATCCATTTTCAAAAGCTTTCTCAGCTATTCTTGGGTATTTTCTCATTGATGTAGTTTAGAGTAACCCTATTGAGTTATATAAATAATCTTCTGGAGTTTTTTTATTTGAATTGCATTGAAATTACATTTTAATACAGTTTGAAATCATCTTTACAATATAGAAATTTT